CCCTGGGGGATGGCAGCGGTGAGCAGGGGGTCTCTCCCGCGGGCCCCCTGAGTCCCGCGGCACACCGCGAAGCACCCCGACGCCTCTGAGCTGTTTGCCCGCTCCGACCGCCGCTGGCGACGCACTGTAGAGCCTCAGCATGTGCAAGGTCTTCCCGTCCACCAGTTTGGAGGCGAAGATGACCATGTACGTCTCGCCATCGGTATCCACCAGCTGCACCCTTGTGTTCTGCCTCTCTGCCAAAGGACGTGGAGGAAAGCAAAAAATTAATGACCTCCTGAGAGCTCCCGCGCTGCAAAAGGGCTGCGAGAGCGTGAATCAGGGTGCGAGGGCCAGGCCACCCAGCCGGTCCTTCTTCCGTGTCTCGCCCTCCTGGTTTCTCCCCTTGCTAAGGCTCCTCTGAGAGCCTGGGGGAGCAGTGCAGATTGCAGCAGCGCAGAGGGACGGGGACGAGCCCTGGGCTGCAGAGGAGTCACTCACCGCGGCAGTAGTATTCTCCGGGAACGCCTGTTTGCCTGTAGATCCACTGCGATTTCCTGCATCCCTTTGGGCTGCAAAACAGCGAAGGATGCTCTGGCTGGGGTGAAGTGACCGCCCGTCCCCTCCCCTGGGGACACTGGCTTTGGGGTCGCTGCCCCAGACTGGTCAGGGATGGGATGGTGTGGCCAGGGCAGGAGGGGGACAGATGCCACCCTTGGGGCAATGGGTGCTGGGGTTGGCAGCGCACGGCGCTGGCACCCACGGGTTCTCCTGTGGGAGTCACACAGCCGTTCCCTTGGTCATGCTCTGAGCTTCTGGGATGAGGCTGGTCCTGCTGGGAAAGCTTGAATTGTAGGGTCCCTCATCACCCTGCTGCGTCCTTGCTGGGAGCAGGGGGGTGCCTCAGTCTCTGTGGTGGGACCACTCCTGGCTGGTGCTGCCCTGAGCCCACCTGGCCTGCCCTGAAGAAGGGGTCCCCATGATGGAGCTCTCCCGAGCCCCTGGTTTAAACCATAGGGCTGGTGGCCCTGCCTCACCCCCTGCCCAGGTCTTTGGTGGGTGCTGGGTGGAGGCTCCCAGGTAGACACCCACCAGTGAAGGTCCAGGGAGGGCGTCGGTCAGTGAAGCTCATGGAGAAAAGCACTTGGCACTTACCTGGGAATGGCAAAGGAGACCTTCAGGTTGCCCTTGTCCAGGACCTTGATGGTGGCCATCGCCATCTTCAGCTGGGGCTGCTCCCGGCGGTATCCCTCGGAGTCAGAGGCCAGGGCGACGATGTACCATCTCCCTTCAATCTGGCAGCGAGGGTGGGCTGTGAGTCCCGAGGAGCAGGCAGGAGCAGGCAGGGGCTGTCCCCAGCTCGGAGGAGCAGGCAGGGGCTATCTCCAGCTCCGGAACTGAGCCAGGACACCCTCATGCCGTGGGACTCACACGTCCCCTCCAGACACTGCAACCCCCGCTGTGGCACCTGCGCTGGAGCGGGGTCAGTGCCGTCCCCCGGCTGTGACAGCAGAGCTAGCGGTGGCTGTGGTGTCCCCGGTACCCAAACACCTCCCCGGTCCCCACCGTGGTGACCCAAGGCCACGCTCCCACCCTCCCTTCCCGGGATGCTGCGGATCACCTTGCTCTTGTCCAGCCCCACAGCCCCGGGGCCCCCAGCATCTACGCGCAGCCAGCAGAGCAGGGCCAGCCCCAGGCTCAGCCCCACGGTCCTCATCTCGCCGCAGCCTCCTCCGGCTTCGCCAGCGGGACGGCGGGGCCGGCGGCTTTATAGCTCTCCCCGCTCCACCCACCCCGCACCGCGGCGTGCCGAGCGGCACGGTGACGCTGCCGGTGTCGGCTTGGGCAAGGTGGCGGTTTCGAGGGGTGAAGGCACCCCGGGGCAAACGGCCTCTGTCTTGCGACAGAAGGGAAGCGCCCGCAAGTTCCGGGAAGGGCCAGAGCAGAGGGGTTGCAGGAGCTGTTGCACCAGGGCTGCAATTCGGGATTTTCCCGGTTGCTTTCGTCCCTCGTGAAAGAACAGAGAGTGCTTTTGTTTCCCGGTTTGCCGGAGGGCTGCCAGGAGGAGCAGGGAGGTCCTTCCTGGCATGGGCGATGGCCGCAGCGTTGCCCAGTGACCCGTCACGAAGGGCTCGGTGGCGCTTCAC